TTTTTTGACACAAAATCGAACGTTTTCTGAAATAACATACCAATTTTTTCCCATATTTCGATTCTATGATTAAAATCATACCAAACTGCCAAATTTATAAAAATCGCATGAGTAGTTTTTAAAAAATTCGTTCTCAAAATTTTAGCTCCTCAGTCTTAATTGAATTTGATATATATTTATTAATATATCTTTTTTTTATTAAACTTATTTGATTCTTCCTTTCATATTTCGAAATTTAGGTTCATTCCAAATAAAATTTCCCCATTTTTCATGATTGATTTTGAAAATTAGTATTTTTAAATTATTTTTTTATAAATTTTTGGAAAAACATTTTGAATTATAATCTATAAAATCTTTACCATCATCTTACAGTTGATGTATTTCTAAGCATATCTGCAAAAAATTAGTTTTTTTATTCGAAATTTCCTAAAATATACTAGAATTTATATTTTGGCATGTTTTAAAATTTGGCATATTTATTATAAGCAATAATAACAAAAATGTTGTTCATGCACTTTGTTAAAATTATTTGAAAGTATGAATGATGACTTTTCCCCCATTCGTGGACAATAAAGAAAAAGTAAAGGAAAATAGGTTGCTTTAAATTACGAAATTCGCCAAGTGAATTATTCTTGGCGCATGCTGAAAAAAATTGACAGATAAATTTTTAAATTTCACACCAAAAATTACAAAATTTAATATTTAGACATAATTTGAATCATAGAATCGAAACATGGGAAAAAATTCGTATATTATTTCAGAAAAAGTCAGATTTTGTGTCAAAATACCTATGCTAAAACAAAGCTATATACAGTATAAAGTCCGAAATCCAGATCTCAAAACCACCAACATTTTGAATTTTATGCATGTGCAGATTCCCTCCTCCTCGTATAATAAAACATCTGAAGAGTCCTGATTCTTAATTTCACTTCGAAAATAAATAAAATACCTTGTTATTGAAGAAACAATCATTTTAGCATTAATTTGTATGATCAGTAATTTGGCTCCATTGCTGCGTATCTGCTTGGCAAACATCTAAAACCGAAACATTGCACATAGATACATTGTTGATCTGACGCCAAACTGGCAAATCATTATTTATTTTACTTTCCTTTCATCATCGCATATTTATCAACACATGACAACTTGAGTAATGATTCACGTAGCGATGCCTAAACAATTTTTTTATGTTAGTAATTGAATAATAAAGGAATATGGTAACCTTTTATGTTGACATTACGCTTGGTGATGATTACAGATTTAACCCCTTAACTGTCGCGGAAAACGTACAAGATTCATTTTCCAGTGCCACGGTTTTTCACATAGGCGCGCATAGTTATGCAATGTATTACGGGTAAAATAAGTGCAAGTTTTACTTTCTAAAAACTGTTTACTTTCACAAATTAAAGAATAAAAGAAAAAATTGAATGCACAATATTTAATGTTTAGAGTAAAAGTATAATAAAAAGATGTAAGTATAATAAAAATGATGTTTTTATAATAAAAAAGATCCCTAAAATGGAGTTTCGATAAATTTATTTTTAGACCAGTAAAATGTAATATCAGGTTTCAGTGTTATACTTTATGAAATCAGTATGACTAAAAAACATATTTCTTCTGAACTGGTTGAATGCTTCGATTTTGTTCTTGATTTTTCCTTTGCACTCTCTCTTGTTAAGATCATTGCAGTGTTGCATTCCAAAGCTTTGTGAATAATTTCATGGGTAGCAGCGCAAAGCAAATGATAGTATTTTGGAAGGGCGTATATATACGCCCGAGACAGTTAACGCATCAGCTGAGCAAGGTGTATATATACGCCAGCGGACAGTTAAGGGGTTAAGTTAAATGCACTAAAAAATGTTGATGAGGAAAAATTTACCAAAAATTTCTTTACATATGCTAAAAATAGATTTTGTTGAAGATTACATTTAGAGCTATTTGAATAAGCGATTTGTTATTAACCCAAAACAGCTCCAGGGCTCGTATGCACTGGGTCGCAGAATTTAGGACACACAGAGACTGCATCAAGATTTGGGACAGTAAGATATCAAGTGCCGGCTCTCGATAAGGCTCAAGTGTATATGTGGGAATTTATTTATTCAGAACTTTGGTAAGCCTTAAGCACATACAAGAAATAGACATAAGTATAATAAATAACTAAATTAATACAATTCAGGCTTAATTGTCTCAGTGTGCGACAGAAGCAAGATAAAATTGAACGGAACAACTTGTCATTAGTTGCCAAGCTCATAATGCATAGCCAAATATGTATGGTGAAGGATATTTAAATTTGATGACGATAGCTGCGAATCTTAAAGGTTTTCGGATATCGCAAAACAAAAGTGAAATTTTCCAATTAACAGATTTTATAAAGAAATGTGGAGAAGCGGTAGGTAATAAATGAAAATGATATAAAAGAAGTTTTTCATTATGATGACAATGCTTCTCAATCATCAATTAATTAATGAATGGCAAAATCTGTAGTATGGTTCTAGATCCAGAAATTACTACCACCAATAGTGAAGAAAGGAAGAGTAGTTACTGAAAACAAGAAAATTTTGATTGACAAGTTAGTTGGAATTTTCGAAACAGCAGTTACAGGACTTCAACAATGTAACTAAACAAGAGTCTGTCTACAAAATTAAAAAGATAGTACGAGGGCCATCCAGGAAGTAGATTACGTTTCCGTCTGTGTCCGCTAGGGGCGGGGCTAGCGCGGCCATCTTGGGGTCAGAGCGTTGCGCAGCTCAGTCTGCATCTAGCCGTGCTAGTGAGAGGTTCGTGCTGTGCTCCGTTCAGATACTGTGACGGTTTGAAATGTCTGCGTTAATTGAAAATCCCGCGAGCTGCGCTCAGTAATAAGGTTTCTGACTGCAAAAAACTGTAAACCGATCGAAATCTATCGGCAGCTTCGTGAAGTGTATGGGGACAACATTATCACTGAAGGTGGAGTGCGTCAGTGGGTCATAAGATTTCAAAATGGCCGAACCAATGTTCACGACGAAGATCGAAGTGGGAGACCCAGCATAGTGACCGCCGAACTTCTCGAAAAAGTCGATGTTAAAGTCCGTGAAAATCGAAAATTCACAATAACGGAACTTTCTTTGAGTTTCCACAAATTTCGCGAAGTTTGTTGCACGAAATCATCAGCGAAAAGCTTGGTTACCACAAGTTTTGTGCAAGATGGAAGGCAAGAAGAGGTAACGAAGTGGTTGAAAAGGCGCAGGCGGGGCCGAATTTTTCGACGAAGGAATTCCAAGCTCGTACATCGCTACGATAAATGCCTTAATTGTATGGTGACTATGTAGAAAAGTAGTATTTGAGTGTGGCTTTCATCTGTATATAATAAATTTGTTCCTATACTTTGGTTATTTTTTTATTCCAAAACGTAATCTACTTTCTGGATAGCCCTCGTATTAGCACAAAAAAAATGAAGCAACTTAAACTTAAATTGAAAGAAATGTTTAATAAGGTAAAAAAATAAATATTAAGCTTTTTTTTGTAAATTTTGATACCTTTTGGATCATAAATGCCGATTTCATATTTTTAATTTCTACATGCCATCTTACTAGATTTAAAACTGATGATCTAATATCCGGAATCGCCAAAGTCCCAAAAAGTCCGGATTTCGGACTTTGTACTGTATAAATCTAATATATATCCTAAGTCGCACTTTCGTGACATGGAAAACGCAATTTGAATTTTTTCAATCAGCCTAGTAGAATGAGAGATATAGAATTATGCCCCCTTTTTTTTTTTGCACAGTACACATATATTCAGTCTGTCAAGAGTACAGACCTTAATCAGACATACGACAAGAAAATGCAAATTAGAGAGAGCAGGGTCAGAATTTTAAAAGCACAGTGCACAGAGAAGCTTTGTTCCTTTTTTCTTTGTTGAAAATGTTGCAAAACTGTTTTAACAGATTAGGAAATTTTTCAGCTATCACAGCTGAACAGCACCAAATTTTACCAAAATGTTATTATGAATACACTAAAATGTTACAATACTTCCTGATTATCATATATATAATTATATTCAATTTTTAGTATATATAATATAATTAAAAAAGATTTCTAAATTTTTGTCTTAAGCCTTTTTGGCACACTACCTTTTAAAGTTGGAGTTTTGATTTATAAAAAAAAAAAAAAAAAAAAAAAAAAAGAAGGAATCTATTAGGCTAGAGGATTACAAGTAAAATTTTGTGAAGATAGCACTTACCTTTTAATTTTGTGGGTGTGTCCAAAGAGGGCACTTTGATCGAATAAAGCTTGGAAAAGAGTGCTGAAACGAGCATTGTTGTCAATGAACTGACCGATGAGATGCGGAGAAAAAGAATACAGACTCTCCAGTTGTCCTAGATTATCGGCGCCCGTCTGGGCACGCCTAGGTTGCCGTTTGATTTTAGGCAAGATTTAAGGTAAAAATTAAATTAATATAGAATAAAAGAGATTAATACAGCCAAAAAAATACATAGAAATTTCTTTTCAAACAATTCCTTTAATACCCTAAAAAAAATCTGGAAGATTCTTTGAAAATGAGGTCTTAAAAAACTAAACATGGCTAAAATATATGGACTGGTTGTGTTGAGCTGCCATCTACTATAAATAAAGAAGGTTCAGAGTAACCCATAAATCCTTTTTCATTCAATTTTTCTGTGCGTACAGAAGGAAATTTTTCCGGTGTGTCCAGACCGAACACACTGTGCCGCAAAGGGTTAATACAGTAAATGCTTTCTTTCCTTTTACATGTAGTAACACATACCACACAATATTTTCTAGGTTTTAAAACTCTACATTGCTTCATTTGAGGGGGGGATAACAACAGGGATTAAAAAATATAAGCTGTCTTCTATGGAAACTACTTTCAGTATGATCGCGAGTATTTTTTTTACATGTTTGTAAGTTATTTTATATAAATAAAGCTTCATTACTTTTATTTAAGTGCTCCCCCCCAAAAAAAATCAAAGGTTAAAAAATTCCAATTAAAACAACACACTATCTCCTTTATAATAGTTTTATTACAAAACTTAATACAAATGCAAAAGATGCAGTGTAACTTGCTGCGGACGCTTTCCACAAAAAGAAAAAAAAAAAAAAATTAACAAAAAAGGATGAACAATGAACACATATAAATTCTCACATTTGTCAGATTTAATGGTTTTAAATAACTCTAAACTAGAGGATAACTTGCTTGAGAAGCAATACCACATTGATTGTTCTTGTTTCTAGACATCTTAATATAGCCTTGATCACCCCATACGGTGCCCCAGCTAAAAGAAAAGTAATTGCTAATTAATCTCTCTAAAACTGTACCTAATTTATAGCAATATTATGAATATATGTAGTTATTTAAAAAGACATATCATTTTAATATACAAAGGAAAATTGAATATGCTTATAATTAATTTCACTTTCATTTACTTCACTATGCCATTTACACTGATTTTTTATTCAAAATTTATATCAGTTCAGAATAAAACAAAAAAATGTTAAAGACAATATAAAAAAATCACTTAAAATAATAAATATACATATACATTGAACTGGAAACAATATGCAGGGTAAGGCATCAGCCAAACAATTTCATAAAAAAAACAAAAAATATTTTAGATAAGGCATAAAATGTTTCTTAATCACACACAGGGATGTCAAGCATTGACAGTCTATGCAACTTATATTCCATATGCATTTAAAAAAAAAAGTCACTTTATCCCTTAATTACACCAAAAATTTAGAAGTTCCTTTTTATATTAACATTTTAAAGGGGGGAGGAATTCCCTGGCATTCTAATTTTTCACTTTGAAATGCACAGATATCTAGAACATTGATGTGTGTTAGGTACTAAGTGTAAATCTCACAATATTACTTCTACTTATGTTCTCTATCAAGACCAGTTATTCTATTTTATAAAGAACAGAAGTATTTTCTTTGTAATCCTCTTAATTACCATAATTTTGATCAACAACATATACAGATGGGCAGCTTTAAGAACTGGCTTCAATAAAGCATATGCATTTGTGTATAAAAATTAAAACTGCCTTCACTAATTAACAGACTTCTATCTTTCAATTTACAAATTTTAAATTTATTTTCTTTATATACAGTCAGCACTCAGTTTTACGTGTCAGGCTCCCATCTTTCAATTTATAAATTTAAATTTGTTTTCTTTAGAAACAGTCAGTGCTCAGTTTTAGGTATTAGCTACAGAAATTTAGACACACTCATGTTAAAGCAAAGAAAATACTCGGAATCCATTTTTTACTTGAAATTCACCAAAATTATTAACACTCGTAATTAGTCACAATATGGAATTATTTATCACCTTTCTGCAGTGAAGATGACAGAGAAAAACTTAATGCTAAAAATATAACCCATAAATTCATATTTATGATACAGGAAAAGAAAAGTAAATAAGTGATAGATACACAAATCAGATTATTTTGTTTTTCAATACCATTTTCAGATTTGTTTCAATATATTTTTGTTAAAAAAAGTCATAACATAGATACATTGAGTAGATTCTTTTTAGCAGAGAATAGTTGGCACGAAAACAAGTCAGTCTTTGACTGAGAGGGACTACTTCATAATGGTGTTGGAACTTTTACGCAAATTTTCCACTGCTGACCAATAAAAAACCTTCATAAGGATGTCCTAGTATCAAAGTGTCTGCATTCTTAAATAGATCAGTTTGAAGTAACCAACCTTCATAAGAATTTGACCATTTTTATGTCAGGGAACTATACAATGTTTTAATTTTCTACTTTGATTAATATAGCAGACAATGCATAAATGCATGCAGTAGACAAGCACAGACTTCAGCTTTCAAATTCAATGGTAATTTTTTTTTATTACTGTCTGTTTTTGCACTGAATGCAATTTCATTTCTTGTAAGGAAACATAATAGGACTGCGGAGTTTAGGAAGCTGATGAAAAAGAAAACACTGGATTTCTTCAAAAACGTGGCCTTTTTTTCCAACAGTAGAGCATGCAAAAATTTGCATTCCATGAAGGTGTATTTCTTATGGGACTGAAATTTGTGGGCAATTTTTATATTTTTTAAAGAGATCACTATGTAAATAAAGAGAACAACAGCATGCACAATGACAAATTTGTACAGGTCTGTTACTTTCCTTAAGCAAAAAAAGATATTGCTATGTACATGGAAAGAACAAAAGAAAAAAAAATTACATATGAATTTTGTGAAAAAGATAAGTGCTTTATTACACATATTTCTTCCTTTTTAAATTTTATTTACATATTAATATTTTATGAAATTCATAGTGTGCTGCCACATTCAAATGGCTGCTCCCTTTTGTGTTATTAGCTTGGTGAAAAATAAGTTATCAAATCGCTGATGACTATTCAGAAGGGGGTGTGGATAATCAGAAAGTGCCCAGTTGAGCAAAGGGCATTTATTTTAAGCAAAGTTTGGCAAACAATATGATGACTAAAACATTTTCTTTCATCACCAGTGTACAAGACAAGCTAAATAGGTTTACTTGTTACTACTACATTGCTTAAAAAGCATCAAGTGATAGAAACTGGAAGAATTTTGAGAACTGTGAACTTCCACAGAGCAGATTTTTATGAGATAGTTTCAAGAGAAAATACAACCAAATAAGCTTCGATTTGTTGCTACTTCTTAAATTTATACTTAGACAACACTTAATAATTATCACCTAAAAACTCACACATTTGTGTATGCATTTTTCATAGCTATAATATATGTTGTTGTTATGTCCATAGTACATGGAACAATGGTTGCCAGAGCCTACTCTGAAGAGAGGTTGGACTTCTATTTTCCACCCCCAAATTTTGAGGACAGCACCCCCGGGGAAAGGGGGTCTCCCACCAATCCATATCAGAGGACTTTCGGCTAGCCGCATATTTAGAGTGCCACCATGGTACACCAACACTATACATTTACAAACACCCATGTCTTCCCGGGATTCAAACCCGGGCCCTTCGATACCGCAGTAGGCTTCCCTAACCACTATACTGTCTAGGCGACAGTTATAATATATAAGGAAATGCAATTCAAAACAAGACTAGTAATATACTGAAAAGTCTAATGTAATACAGTAATATTTAGCTGGTATATAAAAAATTACAAAAATGTCTGTGTAATACCCAAAAAAGTTATTATATTGCACATAATTTACATGATCTTAATTCACAAAAATAAACACAAAAAAGAATAAATAATACAATATATATACAAAAATCTACCTGTTTTTCACTAGCCAATAATCTTCTCCATCTTCTGTTGTTCCGTAGCCAACAACTAATACACCATGGTCTAAATTCTGGCTATCACATTCAACTTCATTGTAGACACCTGCATATAAAACAGAAAAATATTCAAATAATGCATGCAATACGTTTCTGTTGCACTTTTATCACTATAGATCGTGCATTTTGTAGCATTCATTCCAAATAAACACAGAAAGTACTTTAAAATCATGAGCTAAAGAACACTTGCATATTTCAAGCTTCCGATATATAATAATAATCATCCCATATGTATACTACATTTTAAACAACTTTACAAAAAAAATTAAATATCTTTTCCTATAATAATAGCTGCAATTAATTTCATTTAAAGCAGTTAAATGCGAGAACTGTCTGTTTAATCTACAGACAATACCTCCATCAAAAAATACTAGTCCCTTTAATAAATTTAAATGTTCTTATATACCATGTGAATAAAACTGGAAAGATTCATGACTTGCATCAATGGCTACAGATATAGGTCCCACAGTTGCTACAGCTTCCATAAGCTTTGTTTCATCCCCTGATGGTACATCTACATAACCTGTGTCTGTGGCACCTCTATTAGACTTTTTGTAGTGGCATCTACCTTGCTATAAATATAATGAAAATCATGTTAATGAACCACACACAATTAAGTTGAACACACATAACAAATTACTAGGAATTAATAAATTCTGACACCAAATAAAACTATTTCTTAATCAATGTAAACAAATCACTAACCTTTGCTCTGTAAGGATAGGCTTCTTCAGTATCAATACCATGATTGTATTCAATATATTCAAAAGCTTGATCCATGAGTCCTCCATTACATCCTTCATTGCCATATTTTGTTGAACAGTCAATCAGATTCTGTTCACTCAAAGACACCAATTTACCAGTTTTACGAAAATGTTGACCTTCTAAGGCACCAGTCTATGAAAGTGAAAAAAGTGTAATTTAAAACAAAAAGTAAAGCATTATTCAAACATTCTCACTTAACTGCTATGTAAAATAAAATAACTTAGTCTAGCCTTTAACTATTAAAAAATATTAATTATGATTCACAAGAATAAATTAATTTAATGATAAAATAATAATTTATATTTCCTCATATGTAACTTGAATTTCTCACCTCAAATTTATACTAACAGAAATGTAGGTAGTTAAGGCAGCCACCTTGGTACAGTTTGGCAATATTTTACAGATGAAAAAAAAAGGGAGGACTTACTGCAAAAAATTATTTATTACATACATATTTTGTTATAACCCACTAAGTGGCACAGCTTTTTGGATCTGTTAATGAAGATGTGTATTTAAACAACTATTATATAAATTTTTATTACTTATTTAATCTTCATTTTTATAAATTTTCATCTGTTAAGATGATATTTACATTATTAAAGATAATAAAAAATGCAAAATATTTTGAATTATAATCTAGTATGTAATAAATGACGAAAATTTGCAGAGCTGGATAAAGGCAGTCATGCCATTTAGGTGGTTAACTGTCAATTGCAAAAATTACTCAATAATCCTACTTAGAAGAAGCTTCTTGTTAGTTTTATTGTGATGGAAATCTCATGGCAATTGCTTTAAGAAAGATTCAGAGTTGTTGAGAATACATGAAAATGCTTACAACTTTTTAAGTAGTTGCATTAATTTGTTAGTACCCAGATGTTAATCTAATTGCTTACTACAGTGGTATCAAACTCATGGTCCTGAAATACATTTCAATATGTATTTGTTGCAAATACAATGCTATAGTTTTAAGAGACACAGATGAATTGGGCTTATGTATCCAACTGTCAAGGAAGGCGAAAAGACAGAATAAATAAGTTGGCGCTTTGTCACTATATGCTAGGTCACGTGATTAAAGTGGGAAAATTTTCAACATTAGTACAATTACTAAATTTAGTTTGCCAGTCAACAGCAGTGTTCTGTTGGTGTTTCAAGTTAAAAGTAAATTATTTAGTGGCCAGTTTAACATACTGGATTACCTGAAATAAATGTTCAGTTTAAAATTTAATATTTAGCTGTCAATATATCTAAATTATAAAGTAAAATAAACCATAACTGAACACAGACTTGTAGAATGCAAATTTTGCACATACATGTTTTCGTAATTGTCTCCATTTATCCAGCGCAAAAACAACAGTTATATGTAGTATACAGCAGAGCATATGGTGTGGTTCAACATTCATTCATTAAAGAAGTCAAAAATTGCTTAGAACAGGTGGGGAGGATTCTAATTACCGATAACACTCAATGACATGGTACCGAAGCTCACAACATAGCAGCCAAATGTAGAGGTTTTAGTCCTTCCGCCGAACACCCATGCATCGAGGAATCAAAAAGAGATTCCAAAGCCTATTATGTCAGGCACATTTACATCTCTGCAAATAAAGCACAGGGCGAATGAAAAGCATGGCATACTCATGGCATTTTGAAAAACAAAAGATGCTGCATAAAAATGATTAAACTCACATAGGAACAAGTGAATCTATCAACAATAAATGCTTGCTGGCATCTGCTCTGAATAGAAGTTGTGAACAGTTTTTAAAGGATTTCCACTGATTGAAAATGAAGCCTAGGGAAAAAAGGAATAGACAGTGAAAGATTTTCAGATATAGAAGAAAAAATGAAAGAATTAGTTGAGAAAGTCGATCTTGAAATTACAAATGAAGAGCTGGCTGATCTTATAACATTTGCAAGCGCTGAAAGCAGAGATAGTGAAGATAGAGTCTTTAATGCAAAAAAGCTACTCAAGAGGTATTGAAAAACAAGGGATACTTCATGTGAGGGCACAAAAAACTTTGAACTCCTTAATTGCAAAACATTTATGGAGTTGCATTAGACACTCTCTTAAGCAAAATCACCAGCTATTTTTCTTTTGTATTATTATTATTATTATTATTCTGTAGGTTTAGATATTATTTAATAAATGAAATTGAAAATTAAGTTTTTCTTTTCTTTCTTTTTGTATGTGTGGGTTTGTTAAAAATTTTAAATTTTGTTAAAGAATTATTCATTCTGTTATTTAAAAAAAAATGTTGACATTTTGTTAAAAAATTATTATTCTGTCAGTTGTTTTCAGATCATGCATGTGCCTCATATGCTATTTGAGTTTGAGACCAGTGGCTTATGTGATTTCCTTAAATATGCATCAACTGGTTGGTGTATTAATAATTGCATTAATTGAGGTTTTTGCACATCATGAACAAATGACCCACAATGGCTCAGCAAGCATGCCTTAATATAAATTTTAATTATGCCAGGGTTCGTACACAATTCTGCACACTGAAATTAAGTACTTTTAAGGACCATTAATGAAAAAAAAAAATTAAGGACCTATAAGCAAATGGTAACTGAATAAAATCAATTAAAAATATCAATACTTGAACTTCACTTTTGTAATACCATCTTAAAAACAAAATAGATCTGTAAGTAGGATGAATTATTATTAAACATGAACTAATTGACAAAATTATTAATAAGCTTGACAATAAAATCAACTTTATAAAATGTATCAAACAGCATTACATATTTTACATTTATAATAGTTGGACACATTTGAAAAAACATAAGTGATATTTTATTTATGTTTTACTAACAGTAGGCTTTATGTTGATTTTTTTTTTTTTTTTTTTAATGTTTCCTTTTGTCACATACTTGCTCAGTCTTGAGATTTAGTAAGCAGCAGGTAAATTTTATGTCAAGCGGCATAGATTAAAATGAGAATTAAAATCATATCAGAATGCTTCATAACAAAAGACTGGATGTTGTCATCACTGCTGCTTGCCTAGAGAGAGAGAGAGCTCCTGATTAGAACAAACTGGAAAGGCCTGTAGTGGGCACGGTTGGCAAGTTTTGAAAGTTCAATGGTCTCTGTCTGACGCAGTTAGTTAGTACCGTACCTTCTTATAGAGTTCAAGGATTGTAACCCAGTTAATATACTTTAAGGTCCACTAAAGCAACACGTGATAAGTTGTTTTGTATTATTTTAGGTCTCACTAGATGCAAAGAATAAGTTTTACATAAACGTTTACATTTTTGTGTTTTATCTAGTGACCACCATAAGGATTATTGAAATGAAAGGCAATAACTCACTTTAATATGCAGAGATAATTTTTACGAGTAAGCAGTTAATTATAACTAATTAAATTAGCTAGTTAGATGATCTTAGTTATAATGGATTTACATGGCCACTATTAAATTTTGTTTATTTTTTAACAATATTTTTTTTAAAAAAAGCCCTATTGAAATAACAAACTAATAAAATTTGACAGTTTAAAACACATGTAATTTATGACATTGATTCTTATATTAAATATTATATTTACACATTAAACTATATAAACGATGTAGGATAATTACGCATTAAAGTATATAA